TTTATTTTATTTTTACGTGGTGCTGAGGATCGAACCCAGGGCCTCGCACATGCCAGGCGAGCCCTCAACCGCTGAGCCACACCCCCAGCCCAGGTTCACAGATCTCAATGGGCTTTATTTTCAATATCAGAGCTGGGCAACACTTCATTCTGTAAGCCAGAATTCATGTGCCAAGAGGCTGAGCAGGACAGGTGGGCTTCACAGACAGGGAAGAGCTGAGGGAAGCAGAGACAGCTGGGTCATTGGGAGGTTCCTGTCCTTGCGGGGACCCATGGGAGGCAGCAATGGGGAAATGCCTGCTGGGTTAGCATGGGTTTCATGTTTGTGTCGGGTGAGCTTTGTCATGCCATAGGAGCTGGCCTGCTTGGGAAGGTGGCGTAATCTCTCTGCCCCTGATCCCAAGAAGGTCAGATAACAGCTGGGTTTAGCCTGGCCATGTGGAACTTTCACTGAGTGGCCTCCTTTTGGTGTTCAGACTGGTTTCTGGGGGCCCAGAACAGCACCTTGGTCCTGAACAATGGCCTCCTGTAACTAGTGTTCTGGGCTTTTTTGTGGCACTGGGGATTGAACGTAGGGCCCATGTGCTAGGCCGGCATTCTCTGCTGAGCTACACCCCAGCTCTGTAACCAGGAGCAGGAGACAGAGCCAGGTTTCCGTGCGGGAAGCAGTGGAGGAGGGGGAGGAGGAGGAGGAAAGCACAGGAGCCGTGGAGGGTGGCAGCCAAGGACCTGCCAAGGACTTGTAAGTGGGCCTGGTGCTCCACAGTTGCCGTGCTTAGCTGGGCCACTTGGCCCATCTTGCTCAGTGTCCACATGCACAGCTCCTCCCAGGATGCCCTCAATGTCCCAATCCTGGTATATGGGGCAGAGCAGGTCATGGGCAGCCGGAACCACTCTCTCCAAGGAGCCCAGCAGGAGCTCCCATCCTATTGGGAATGGGTTGGGCACCGTTCGTGGGAGGGCCACCTGGGAAAGCCATCTGAAGAAGGCCCTGGGGCAGTGTCCACATACTGGGCATGCGTAGGGAGGGTCTGGGACTGCTGTGCCAGCCAGACCACGACCACCACAAGGCCCTGGCAGGCCACATCAGGGAGTCAAAGAAGGGGACAGAAAATGGGACACATAGCTGAGGGGATGGCAAGTCCAGGATCACTACCACATCCACCTCTTTGCTCAGCAAATGGCCAGGCACTGTGCTGGGCTAACGGTGGAAAAGGCCAGTGTGTCAGTTACCTGTGGCTGCTTAACCAGTGACCCCAAGACAGGCAGAGAACAGCAGCAAGCATTTCTTTCCTCTTTTTTTTTTTTTTTGTGATACTTGGGGATGAACCCCGAGTGCTCTACCACTGAGCTAGGTCTCTAGCCCCTTTTATTCTATTTATTTATCGGAGTCAGGGTTTCACTAAGTTGCAGAGGCTGGCCTGGAACTTGCAATCCTTCTGCCTCGGCCTCCCAGGTAGCCAGCATTACAGATAGGTGTGCACTCCCACACCTGGCAGCGACAATCATTTCTTACCTCTCAGTTTCTGCAGGTCAATAGCCCAGGAGCAAGAGGACACAATGATACACACCTGTAATCCCAGAGACCCAGGAGGCTGAGGCAGGAGGATCACAAGTTCAAGGCCAGCCTGGCCAACTTCAGTTGAGAACTTGTCTCAAAAAAAAGAAAAAGAAAAAGAAAACGGGGGAGACTATGGATGTAGCTCAGTAGTAGAGTGCCCTGGGTTCAATCTCCAGTACCAAAATAAATAAGTAAATAAAAAGGAAGAAAATTGTGGGTGACACAGACTCTAACACAGATCACTTTGGACACCATGCTGAGTGAAGAAAGCCAGCATGGAAGGACAAACACCGTGTGGTCCTGCCTGCTTGAGACCCCTCGAGCAGCAACCAGAGAGCAGGCTGGAGCACGAGGTTTGAGGAGCACGGGAATCAGCATCTGCTGTGGACAGGGTCAGTTTGGGGAGTGAATGTGGTGAGTGCCGCAGACTGTGTACCTGAGAATGGCTGAGAGCACGAATTCACTTATGTGCATTTTACCACAATACGTAAGACGAGCAGCCAGGCCCCAGAACTTATTCTCTTGTTGTTCTGGGCGGTGCTGTGGATCGAACCCAGAGCCTCCTGCAAGCTCTGGGAGCCACACCCGTCCCCTCCTTGTGGTGAGAACCAAGGCGAAGCTCTTTGCTGCTGGTCTGCACCCTGCCCACACCGTGGTCTGCTGACAGCCAGCCCTGAGGTCTTCCTCCTTCCTTCAAGATGTTCTATACACACACACACACACACACACACTCACGTCACACCAGGGGTTCTGGGCTCACGCTGCTGTGAGGCAGCACATGCAGAGCCTTTCCCCAGCAGCCCCTCCCCAGAGGGACCCCCTGGTGCCAGCAGCGCCACCCCAGGGAACAGGTGCCCCCCCACCGTGCTGGGGCATCTTGCCACCTGTGCTGTTCCCCTAACCTCCCTGGCGACCATTTTGCATTTTCTACCAAGTTCGGGGGAGCCCTCTGGGAAGAGTGTGGGAAGCATTCTGGGTGGCCCAGTAGGCCTGAGGGGGGGATGGACAGCCACGGCCACAAAGACACACTTGTTCCCAGACACAGGCAGGCCTTGTCTGTGGAGCTGTTTGCTGGTGGCACAGCTGGGGCACAGAGATGGCCCCTGGCCATCCCATCCACAAAAGGGTGCTGCTGGGTGCGTGACTGGAGGCCCCTCCCCCTGCAGATCTGGGATCAGAATGTTGCCCAGTGTGGGTGACCCCTCCCCTCCTCCTTGATGGGATCCTCTGCCTGGGCCCCACGGGGGCTGGCACGGCCAGACACCCCCTCCTTCCTGTTGGCCTGTAGGGGAGGGGAGGCCAGTGCGGTGAGGGGTTAAGGATGAGCCTGTTGGACTGAGGGAAATTGCATTTGAATCCCAGTTAGGTAACCTGGTTCCCCTGTGTCTTGCGCTTGGTCCAGGCTGGCATCTCAGGGTGCTGCTAAGTCCACCCGAATGCTATGGCCAGTGTTTTGTGTGTGGTTATAAATGCACCCTCGGGGGCTGGGGCTGGGGCTCAGCGGCAGAGCGCTGGCCTAGCAGGCATGAGGCACTGGGTTTGATCCTCAGTCCCACATGAAAATACACAAATAAAATAAAGGCCTTCTGTCCATCTACAACTACAAGAAAAAATTTAAAAATAAATAAATGGTCACCCTCTAGTTTGCAGACCCTGGAGAGTGACAGCCTCACATTTAGGGTCAGCAGCCAAGGGAACGTGCAGGGCCAACTGCCCTAACACTGTATGATCTTTGACCCACTCCTGGGCGGATGGGGTCAGTGGCTCTGTCCTGCTCTTGAGGAGGGTCATGTAAAGTGGTGGAAAGTCCCTTGGGAAACACAGGGACAGGGCTGCAGTTGTGGCTCAGAAGTAGAGTACTTGTCTACCATGTGTGAAGCCCTGAGTTCGATCCTCAGCACCACATATAAATAAATAAAATAAAGATTTTTTTAAAAAATCTTAACATTAAAAAAAAGAAAACACTGGGACGAATCCGGGAGCCCAGGGGCCTAAGCCTGCAGGTCAAGCCAGGCCACCTCCAGACCAGCTGCTCCTGAGTGGGGGCTGGCTTAGGCCTCTGGGTCTGGTGCTCAGGGCCTCCTCCGCTGCTCAGGGGGCAGCATGGGGAGGGAGCTTCTGAGGAAGCAGGTGTAAGTCCTGCGGGGGGGTGCTGTGACCCAGCCTGGAGACAGCAGCCAGAACCCCTCCCAGGCTGGTGCAGGACGAGCCCTGCTGGTACAGGTGGGTGGGAGATCCTGCCGAGTGGCTGCCAGGGCCTGGTGGTTTCCAGCCAACCCCCAAGGTCAAGCCTCCCTAGTCCCACAGAGGTCTCTTTGGAGCAGGTGGAGTCCAGGGCCCCACCATCTCTTGAAGGAGCAGTCTGCCAAGCAGGAAACCCGGCCCTAACCCACTGCCTGTTAGGCCCAGCTCCCTATCTCTGGGGTTGTAGCCCAGGCAAAAGCCACCTCTGCTGGCCTTGGAGGGAGGTGACTGCCACATCCAGTTCATAGTTCAAAGGACCTGGGACGTCCCCAGTTCCCTTTGGCCATATCCTGCAGGAAACACTGGGCTCAAGGTGCCTGCCTGGGACGTGAGGCCGAGCTTTGGAGGCCCAGGGGCCAGGCCTCTACTCAACCAGCAGAGGACACAGCCTCTGCAGCTCAGCTCCACAGGTGCAACCCGCTCCCTGTAGTTAGCCCCACTCATTGCACTGGGATCCCTGATGGGGTCCAAGGCCACTGCACCCCAGGATTGGGTCCCCAAGCTTCCGGACACAGGGTCACTTCCCTCAACCAAGTCCGGTGCTGGGGCAACCTCTGGCAGCCACCTCGTGCAGCACACAGAGCCACCAGCAGAGGGTGCCAAAGGCTTCCAGGGGAATATTGGCCAGGCAGGCAGTACCCACTGCAGAGAGGGGCAGGAAAAACCATGGATACCACCAGCTGATGGTGAGCTGGGACTCACAGGTTCTAGGCTCTCTTTCCGATGCCTCTCTCAGCTTGAGCCTCACTTGTGACACACCCCTCCTGGGCAGACCTGGCAAACCTGGCTCACTCCCACCTGGCATGTGCCCCACGAAGGCCAGACTGGGTGATGGGCTTTGGGCCTTCTGGACATGTGGCCTGGGATGATGCAGTGAGCAGAGCGGGTAGGTGTTGCGGGGGACAGCTTCCTGGGCCCCTCGCCTCTCAGAAATGTCCCCTCCGCTGGGGGCCTTTTTGAATGGGTATAGAGGTGAGGGGTCTTCCTTGACAGGTTCCACCCACCTGGCCATGGCCAGCCCTCTGCCTGACAGCTCATAAAGAGGTGCAGATTCCTGTGTCTCTAATAAAATGTGAAATTGGCTGGGGATGTGCTCAGTGATTGACTGCCTCTGAGTTCAATCCCTAGTTCCCTCCCCGCCAAAAAAAACAAAAAACCAGAGATGCAGCTTCAGGAGGCTCTAGGAGACAGACAGGTGGCTTCCAGGAGAAACTGGTTTAATAATGTGGCCTTAGAGCCCCCACCCTCATTTCTGGATGTGAGGCTCTGCCCAGGGCTCTAAGATCACCAGTCACCAGCGTGCAGTGCTTAGCTGGCCTGAGATGTGGTCAGAGAAAGTTCCTGTCTGGGCTCTGCTGGATGGGAGTGGGTGTCTACAGCCCTCGCGCCTTGGTCTTTGAAAGGGTGAGGGCACAGCATGCCCCTAACCGGTGGGGCAACTGTGGCTTCCTGTCCTGGAGCCCCTGCAGGCCATTTTTTGGGGACAGCATCCTGTGGGGGACAAACCTGGAGTCCAGGTCACCAGCCTAAGCAGCCTGGAGCTCTGGCCCACCTGAGACAGGTGGGAACAGCTGGGAGCAGGTGCATATGAAATCAAGCAGCAGGTGGTGAGTGTCAAACTCCAGAGGCCAGGAGCCGACATCAGCACAGGGAGGCCAGAGAGGCCCTGCCCACCTGGGGGGTCCTGTGGCCTAGGGCTGATGGATGGAGGCTGGCACTGCTAGGTGGCAGGTTTGGCTGGGAGAGGCCTTGGTTTGGGTGGGTGAGTGGCTTGCAGCTGAGAGGCCATCCATGGGCCTGGCCCAGCCTGAAGATAAGCCAACCGCCTAGAGGCAGATGAGCACCCCATCCAGCCCATGTGAGTCCTCAGTATAAAATAATACACATATAAAATAATACTCCGTGCACTGGGAGCGGGCCCACCACCCGTGCTGCCTCCCTCTGCAGCAAGGGTGGCAACAGTCCACCAGGTCTAGCTGTCCTCCACCCTCCTCTGGTTCTTGGAATGAAACTTGTTCATGAGTTCTTCCAACTCCGACCCACTTTGCTGCTTCTAGGGAGAAGGGATGAGGAGCTCAGACAAGGGGCCAGAGGCCACGACCCCACTCCTTCCCAGCACCCCAGGAGCAGGTAGGTGGGTGTACTGTGAAAGAGGCACCGGAGCGGAGCGCTCACCTCCAGCATCGCCTTCTGCACTGTGAGTTGGCTGTACACGCGGATGCCCTCCTCCCCGCACACCCTCTTCAGCTCATCTTTGTTGAGGGAGAAGAGCTGGGGTCCGGTCAGGATACCCAGGTTCTCCACGATCCTGGGGGTGGTAGAGAGTCAGGGCGCAGGGGTGGGCATGGCGGCTGCGTGCACTGGCGTGCACTTGCTCAAACCCGCAGCCCTTCCGCTCACCGGCCGCTGAAGGCCTTGGCTTCTAGCCAGGCCCGGACTTCATCCGGGCCGGACTCAAAGGTGAGTGGCAGGTGCACTGGCTGGGTGCGCTCCACGCGGAAGTGCCTCTGCGGCTGTGCCTTGATGTGGCTAATTTTCTTCATGAGCTCATCGTTGACTTCATCCATGTGGTGGATCAGCTCTGCAGGAGCGGGTGCTAAGCCGTGGACCCGCGCAGGCCCTGGCTTCCCCCTGCCCTCCCAGGCCGCCCCGCACCTCCTTGCTCCCTCTCCATGTAAGCGCCCTCTCACCATCTTTGTTCCCTGCGAAGATAGGGGGCAGTTTATGCATCGGGCTGGCGGGACCCCAGTATTTCTGGCTGGCCTGCAGGGGCAGGTGGTGAGGTGGGTGCTCTGAAGACCTGCCCAGACCCCTACCTGACTTGTGGGCCGGCCCTTCCTTCCCTGGGCCAAGACAGAGGAAGGAGCCTCTGCACAGGCTCTGGCCCAGGGCTGGGGTGCAGCGGTATTCCCAGGCTGAGACTCAGCTGTCCCCCCAACCCCACCCAGGGCAAACGACTGTGTTGTGAGGGTGGGGAAGAACAGAGCCGGGCACCTGCTCCAGGGGGGCACCAATGTCCTCTGGCCGAACCTCATCCAGGATGTTGCAGGGCACATAGCCAGACTGGCCACTTCGGCTGCGAAGCTTCCACCACTGCCGGCCATCCTCCAGGACCTGCCGTGTCCCGGGGCCATCAGGTCTACCGTTTTTCCTGCCCTTCGACCCCCACCCTCCCCAGCCACGGGCACTAGTGTGGTTGCTGGGACTACTCACATGAGCCACACTTTGCAGAGAGGCAGAGAGTGCCCCAAGTCTCCCCTGAGCTCAGCCCTCAGGCCACTGTGCATCCTGGCCCCAGGCTTCAGTCCTGGCTGGGGGGGGGGCTACCCCTGCCTGGCCTTAGCAGGGTCCTGGAGGGAGGATGCTTCCTGGCCTCATTGTGGATGTAAACCACACCCTGCCCCAGCCTGCTCCACTTTCTGTCCCTCAGTGAGTGGCCTGGATTCAGGTTTGGCACAGTGGCTACAGGGGAAGGCTCCCGGGTGGCCATGAGTGTCAAGCCCCTTCTCTGTTCACTGGAGGGCCCCCCACTTGGCAAAGTGACTGCCCAGCATACACGGGTTCCGCACACCCTCGGGAATCCCCCAGACCTGGAGGGCCCTCGGCAAGGCCGTGCTGGGAGTAGGGGAGATCCTGCCCACGGACCCAGCTGGAACCCAGAGCTGGGGACCCTAGGGAAATAGGCTGTGCCCATCTCGTGGTTCCACAGTTGGGTCACCTTCCCTGGTCAGGCTGACCCCTCACCTCTAGGACCTCATCCTTGAGCACCGACAGCTCGTTGGCATTGCGGGCTGTGAAGTCGTAGAGAATCTTCACGTACTTGGCCGGGGCTGATGTTGGCTGGTGGCCCCTACAAGGACCCAGAGGGACTGGTGCAGCAGCTTCCCAGGCACGCAGCTGCCTGGCTCTGCTGCCCAGGTTGCAGTGGAGGAGGGGCTGTCGCTCACAGCCCGGAAGGGAAACTGTGACAGCCCTGGAGGTGGAGTGGGCGGGAGGGCAAGATGCAGGGCCTGGCCCACCAGAGCTGCCGCTGGGTGCCTGGGGGTGACAGGGTCATGGGGCCAGGACATTTTCAGAGCCACAGGCCCTGGGTGCTGCACAGGGCACCGGCCTGCAGGCTCTCTGGAGGTCTGGACCTACATCCCCAGGGGCATGGGTGGAGCTGTTGGTGCAGAACAGGACTGCTCCCTGTCCCACTGCACTGGGAGGAGCAGGGTAGAGGCCGCCAGGGTGAACAGACAGCTGCTGAAAACACTTCTGTGTAGCTCCACCTGGGGGCTGGAGCTGTGGCTCAGCGGGAGAGCGCTTGCTTCCCAGGTGTGAGGTCCTGGGTTCGATCCTCCTCACCACACAAATAAAATAAAGGTACTGAAGTTCTCCTGGGGACCACAGGCCCAATGTGGGCCAAGAGGATGGGCTTGTTTGGAATACGGATTTGCAGCCCCTTCCCTCCTGAAACCAGATTCTGGGACCTTGCAGGTTGCAAGTGTCCCAGGCAGACCCTGGGCCGGGAGTGAGGATACAGAAGTGGGGGGGCAAAGAGGGGTTCGCCCCTGGGTCCATTCTTTTTGTATGGTGCTAGGGATGGAACCCAGGGGTGTTCTACCATTGAGCTCCACCCCCAACTCTTCTGATTTTTTATTTTGAAATCTGGTCTCCCTAAGTTGTCCAGGCAGTTCTGAGAGTGAAAAGCAGCTTCTCATCTGGAAGAGGCATTTTAAGCCACTTGAAGGAGGTGTTTGCCACCACCTGGTGGCAGCACACCCCAGTCCATGCTGTGGAGGGCGTCACACCACCTCCCTGCAATGGGGCTTACCTGTGAGAATGTGGGGAGCTGACTGGTGGGAAGACGTCCCCCTGGGGTGTGGACTCAGAGGAGAGACTGTGTTTCGGGGAGTTTCTTATGGAGAGTCGGCTCACAGGGGTGGGCTGTGGGGAAAGCAGGGCTTGATGTCGGTGGAGGCCAGGCAGTGCCAGGCAGGGGCCCAGGACAAAGGGCACAAGGCAGACTTGGTGAATGACTGTGACCTGGCAGGCCGGGCAGGGGGCAGCCCCAGCTGTGGCTCCAGGAGTGGCAAGGGCAGCGGTTGGCAGCGGTTGGGGAGGCAAACTGCAGAGGGGTGGGGTCTGACCTGGTCATCGGGGCCAGAGGCCAGTCCTTCCATCTCCCAGGGAGCCTCCTGCAGCACATCCAGAGGCGGTTCCCAGCCACTGTGGAACTTGGGCACGTACAGGGGCACCTGTGGCTCCTTCGGCCACTCAGAGCTGGGGTGGGCAGTGCCGGGGTCAGCCAAGACTCCTCCTGGAGCTGGCCCACCCAGGACCCCATCCTGGTCCAGGCCCTGCCCTCACCCTGTCCATACCGGGGCCGGGTCCAGGTGTCCCCCAGGGACTCCCACAGTGACATCTCCTTTGGGACCAGGTGGCCACGTAGGAAGGCCACAGCCTCCTGGGACAGCAGCGGGCTGAAGACGGAGCGTGCCATGTCTGGGCCTCCGCAGGTGTTGACGATCTGGGGGATGGCGTGGCTCAGAGGGGCGACCCAGCCTGCAGCTGCACAGGGGCCACCCTGGGTCCCCGCCCCCATCCGCCCCACCCGCCCCAGCCCCAGCACCAGGTCCAGAGGCCCGAAGAGGAAGTGCACCAGCTCAGCCGCACTGGGGTTCTGGATGTGCTTCTGCAGCTTGGCCTGGAGGGAGTGGGCAGGTGACAGGTGGCAGGGAGAGGGCAGGTGACAGATGGTGTGGGGGAACCTCCACCCTCACCACCAGCACAGGGCAGGCCTGGACTCACCAGCAGATTGATGGCCAGCTTGGTTTTCTGGAAACAGTCGACAAACTCACCCTCAGAGGGGGGCCGGGCACGCAGCGTGAGGACACCCTCTGGCACAGGGTGGAGGCCGTGAGCCGGCTGGCCGGCCCGGCCTCGTGGGCCCTGCCTGCTGTCCGACGTTGAGCCCCCCCAGGCCAGCCGTCCCCAGCTCGGGGCCCTGCGCCGCCCTCCACGCACCTGCCGGCCCCTTCTTGCCCTTCTTCTTCCCTTTCTTCCGCTGGTTCAGCTGCTTGAAGGCCTCGGCCGCCTTCTGTAGCCGGGCCACGAACCACTCGATGTCATCCAGGGCGCAGTTGAGGATTTGCTGGGGTCAGAAGAGCAGGGGTGAGCTTCAGACCTCCACCCACTCTGGGGCTGCTCTACAGGCAACAGGCCGTCTGGGCCCATTGCAGGGGAGGCCGGGAGGGCCCAGCGGGGGGTGGGAGGGCACCCACCGTCTCCTTCTCTATCCTCTGAGCCAGCACCGCCCGAGGCTCCTCATCCTGCGATTCCCGGCGGCGGTAGCCTGGTGGGGACAGAGCAGCTGCCCAGGGGCCCTGCAGACCCTCCAGGGAGCCCCGACCTAGCCCTGGGCCTACCTGGCTCTGTGACGGGTGCTGGCAGGCCCACGCGGTTCTTGGCCTGAGGAGAGTCCCCAGCCTGGCGCTGAAAGGGGATGGGAGCTGGGCTCTGGGGAGGCGGCAGGATGGACTGCCGCTGCCGGATCTTCTCCTGGTGCCCCCTGGAGGGGACAGGAAGGCCTGCTCAGCTGGCCACCACCCCAGGCCTGGGCAGCTGCCTCCTTGGTGCCCTCCCTGCCCTGGTGAGAGCCCAGCTCCCCGGGTCCCCAGGGCCCTACTTCAGGGTCTGTGGCCGCAACTTCTTCCCCATCCGGCAGTCGGCCAGCGCGCTCTGGATGTCCTCCTGCACCAGCTCCGCCTGGGGGACAGGGGCATCAGGCTGGCTCAGCGGGTGCCTCACCCGCCCCTGTCAGCTGCCTCACCTCCACCTCGTCGCAGTGGAAGAAGTGCACGTCGGGCCGGCTCTGCTCCGAGTCCTGGCACACCAGCAGCAGCACCGAGGGGTAGCGCAGCTGGTTCAGCACCGTCTGGCTGCGCAGCACGGTGGGCAGCGGGAAGTTCTCCAGCTCTTCCTGGGGACAGAGGGCAGGCGGTGACGTGGCCTCAGCCGGCCCTGGACACAGATGTGGGCCATGGCCACAGGCAGGGAATGGACCACAGAAGTGGCCGAGAAAGGGACCAGTGCCCTGCCAGAGGCGTGATGGAGCAGCATGTGCTCCTGGGACACAGACGTGGCAGGAACTTGCAGGGGCAGGACGGACCAAGTCCAGGGACAGGACTGACACTGCTCACACTGCAGACACATCTTGAGTACAGACCCCAGGGACACAGCCAGGCCTGCTGACTGCAGCCTGTGAGCCTCTCGCAACTGGACACAGCCTGGCCCCAGTGCAGGTTGCTGCCTGGGCTCTGGCCAGGTTGATCCTGCTGGCCCTTGGCCTCGTCCTCTTCCACATGCTCACCCCAGAGACCCGGCACCCATGGGAGCCCAGTAGACAACAGCCTGCTCTACCGCCTGACCTGGTTCTCAACGTCCAGCAGCCGCAGGGCCTTGTCGTCCACCTGCAGCAGCACCTCCTGCGCCCAGACCTTCTCCTTGGCACTGAGCTGCACCAGCTTCCGGATGGCGTCGTCCACAGATGTGATGGCCTCGCTCTTGTCCATGATGAATGTGGCCAAGTGCTGGGGGCAACAGTCACGACTGGGTTCAGCCGGGTTTGTGCCCAGGCCCAGGCCCAGGGCTGGGGGCCCCCGCCCACCCAGGGGGTCCCGCAGGGCCACAGCTTTATCTCAGGTGGAGGCGCCCCCATTCTGCCCTGGTTGACATCTTTGGGGTCACAGTGGTGCACTGATAAAACCTGAAAGCATTCCTGGCTGCCCGCCACCTTGGGCACTCCTCTGCCCTCCCCACCTCTTGCTGCTAGGCCCTTCTCCTCTCTCAGGACCTCACACTGCATCTGTGTGCTGGGCCCGAGGCCGGTCCTGCCCTCAGGATGCCCTCACCCAGAGCAGTGGGATCCAGGATTGGCTCCTCGGGGACATGGGTGGAAAGAGCGCATCGGGGGCTCTTCCGCAGCCTGGCCTGGCCTGCCCCCGTGAGCTGCCCTCTACCTCATCAGCAAAACCCTCCCACAGAGCTTCAGGCTTCCGTAAACAGTGCTGGGCCAGGTGGGTAAACTAGCTAGGCCATCAGACAACCCACAGCCACAAAAGCACTAGAGAAATCAGACGGTGATTTCTCACCACGTCTAAGGGAACTTTCTCCACGGGCACCTTGCCCAGCAAGGGGGAAAACACGCGAGCTCCGAAGAAGAGACTAACCAATCTGACAATAAAAAAAAGATTTCTGACTGGGTATCGCTCAGCCGTGTAGTGCTTCCTAGCATGCACAGGCCCTGGTTCAATCCCTAGCACCAAAAAATAAAAAACAGCCAGATGCAGTTCAAGGCCAGCCTCAGTAATTTAGTGACACTTTCTCTGAACAAACCACACAATAAAAAGAAATAAAAAGGGCTGAGGATGTAGCTTAGTGGTGGAGCTCTCCCAGATTCAGCCCAGTATCCCCCGCCACACACGCAAATAAAGGATATTGATAATAAGTAAGTAAACAAATAAATACTTAAGTCAGAACACAATAACACTGCATCAGAAAATTGCCAAAGGATATGAGCACAAAGAAAACAAATATGAATAACTTTTTTTTAGTTGTACATGGGCATAATACCTTTATTTTATCTATTTATTTTTGTGCGGTGCTGAGGATCAAATGCAGTGCCTCGCAGGTGCTGGGCAAGCGCTCTCCTGCGGAGGTACAACCCCAGCCCTGTGACTTTTTAATACAGAAAATCATATGTAAATCTTATTGAATAAAAGAACCACACATTGAAACTCTGAGCCTTTATTATTTTAGCAATAAGTCACTGTCTCTTTCACCTATTCTACTGTCCAACCCTCAAAGTCACTAGGGTACATCGTGGTTCAGATGTGGAGACAGGCAATGTCACCTAGCACCTGCCAGCCTCCCATGCAGAGGCTGGTGACAGCTGTAAAGGCACACATCTTCCCTCCCAGCTCTGCTGCAGGTGGCCTGTGCAGGTGCAGTGTGGCGCTGGGCCAGGCTGCTCCCTGCAAAGCCACTTGCAATAACAAAGCCTGGGTGCGACTCACGTGGCCATCAGCCAGAGGAAGAGTGAGTGGGCGAAAACACACAGCAGAATCCCAGGGGGTTGTGTGGGGCGGAGGAAGCCCTGAAATGCACGCTGTTAGCACCACACAGAACAACCCACCACATGAAACCAAGCTGCCAGGCCACCAGCGAGCTTAGGACATCTCCCACGGCTGAGACCACACAGGGGACGCTCTTGGACCATAATGAAACTAAAGTCAGATGAATAGCCAAAAGTTAGAAAATCCTCAAATGTTTGGAGATCAAGCTACATAGCTCTAAATAACCCATGGGTCAAAACTGAAGTCACGAGGAAAAGTGAAATATATTCTGGGGTTGGGGAGATATATCTGTGTATATATCTTGTGTTCTGTCCCCAGCACCACAAGAAAATTCTGAAGTATAATAAAAACAGGCATAATATATCACGATTGGTGGACTACAACTACAACTGCTGGCTCTCCCACCCCCGACTCCCCAGTGCTAGGACTGAACCCAGGAGTGCTCTAGCAGTGATCTGTATCCTCAGCCCTTTTATATATATATATATATATATATATATTTGAATTCAGGATTTTTTGGAGGAGGGGAGGGGAGTACCAGGGATTGAACTCAGGGGCACTCTACCACTGAGCCACATCTCTAGTCCTATTTTGTATTTTATTTAGAGACAGTCTCACTGAGTTGCTTAGTGCCTTGCCATTGCTGAGGCTGGCTCTGAACTCGTGATCCTCCCTCTCAGCCTCCCCAGCTGCTGGGAGGACAGGCACATGACACAGAGCCCAGCTGAATTCAGGATCATGATAAGTTGCCTGGACTGGTCTTGGTCCTCCTGCCTCGGCCTGCTGAATAGTTGGGATTACAGGTGTGCGCCACCACACCCAGCTAAGGCAGTGCACTGAGGGAAATTTATAGTTTCTGATGACGATGTTAGGCAAAAAGTTAAGACTTAGGATCAGTGACCTAAACTTTCAGCTTAAGAAGCTAGAAAAACGTGCTGGGGTGTGGCTCAGTGGTAAGCACTTGCCCGGCATGCAAGGGCCTGGGCCCAACCCCCAGTACCACAGGGAAGAAAGCTACAAAAACACAATAAAACAGACCCCAGAGAGAGTGGAAAGAAGTGAATTAAAAGTAAAAATCAATAGAGAAGCCGGGCGCAGTGGTGCAGGCCTGTAATCCAGTGGCTCCAGAGGCTGAGGCAGGAGGATCACAAGTTCAAAGCCAGCCTCAGCAAAAGTGAGGTGCTAGCAACTCAGTGAGACTCTGTCTCTAAATAAAATACAAAATAGGGCTGGGGATGTGGCTTAGCGGTTGAGTGCCCCTGAGTTCAATCCCTGATACCCACCCCCCAATAAACAATCAATAGGGAAAAATCCAACAAAGTTAGTTATGAAAGAAATGTTAACATTGATAAATCCCCAGCAAGAGCGATCAAGAAAAATGCTAGAGACAATCCCTTCAAAACCAAGAGGACAGAGGGTACATGTCTACACTACCCCAGGCACCCACAGTCTGGCAATCCCACAGAGGCGGCCCAGCACTCAGCCTCACTGGCAAATCACCAGTATCGAAGGAAGAAACGACCAGAAGCTTCACAAACTTTCTGAAAACCGAGGTGAGAACTCTTCTCTCCTGCCCTGTGAGGTCGGCATAACCCTGACCCCCAAACCTGCCATCAGCACTGTATGAGAAAGTTGCAGATCAATATCTCTGGGAGACATTGACACAAAAACCCCTCAACAAAATATTAGCAAATTAGCCCATCAGCACATAAAAAGGGCAGTAGAGCCAGGCGCAGTGACACATGCCTGCCATGTGTCAGGACTCAGGAGGCTGAGGCAGAAAGATGGCAAGTTCAAGGACAGCCAGGCCCGGTCTCAACATAAAACAAAAAACCAGCTGAGGACGCAGCTCAGTGGTAGAGGTTCCCTGAGTATTGGGGGGGGGGGGAAGTAGTATACCTTGAAGAAAATGAAGTTATCCCAGAAATGCCAGGTTGGTTCAACACACATAAAAGCCAACCAGGGAGCCAGGCACAATGGCTTACACCTGTGATCCCGGCTACTCAGGAGGCTGAGGCAGGAGGGTCACAACTTAGAGGTCAGCCTGGGAAACTGAGCAAGACCCTGTCCCCAAATAAAAATAAAAAGGGATGGGGGTGCAGCTCAGTGGTAGAGCACTTGCCTAGCATGAAGGGGCCCCGGACTCAATCCTAGCACCACCAAGAATAAAAAAAAAAAATCAGTCAAGCCAGGCACAGTGGTGCATACCTGTAATCCCAGCGGCTAGGGAGGCTGAGGCAGGAAGCTTGCAAGTTCAAAGCCAGCCTCAGCAACGGCAAGGCCCTAAACAACTCAGTGAGACCCTATCTCTAAATTAAATACAAAATAGGGCTGGGGATGTGGCTCAGTGGTTGCATGCCCCTGAGTTCAGTCCCTGGTAAAAACAAAACAAAACAAAAAACCCTCAGCCAATGTAGTTCACTACACCAGCAGTGGCCAATAAACCTCAATAGATTTGGGGAAAGTATCTAACAAAATCCAACACCCATCATGATCAAAAACTCAGCAAAAGAAATCGGAACTTCTCACATTAATAATAGGTATCCACAAAAACAGGCATCAGTAGGACACTGGACGCTCTCTCCAAGACTGGACCTCTGCAGACCCATCTTCATCTAGCATTGTACTTTAAACAGGGAGATGGGGCAAAAAACTAAATGAGTGATATGAAGACGGGAAATGAAGAGTGGTCTTTATTTTCTAGCAATCTGATGTGTATCTAGAAAATCCAAGCATTTCACAAGTCAATCACAAGTAATTTGCAGATGACTTGATTCACCAGTCTCAGGACACTTGATCGTCATACCAAAGTTCAACTGTGTTTCTATAGGCTAACAGCAGACAACTGTTAAAAAGAATACCACTTGTTTTTCATTAATGGGCATTGAATCCAGGGGTGCTCTACCACTGAGCCACATCCCCAGCTCTCTCTCTCTCTTTTTTTTTTTTTTTAATTTAGAGACAGGGTCAGCATTGAATTGCTAAATGCTTCCTAAGTTGCTGAGGCTGGCTTTGAACTTGCAATCCTCCTGCCTCAGCCTCCTGAGCCACTGAGACTACAGGCATGCACCACTGCACCTGCACCATTTGTAATAACATATAAAAATCAAATGCCTAAGCAATAATTTAACAAAGGATATATGCAAGCTTCCTATAATGAAGACCACAAAACACTGATGAGAAATTAAAGAATACCTATTAATGGAAAGGTATCCCATGTTCGTGGATGGAAAGACACAATGTTGTTCAAGTGTCAACTCTTTCTAAAGTGATTCAGAGATTTGACTTGATGCCAATCAAAATTCTAACAGCATCTTTCAGGAGGAGAAACACACAAGTTGATTCTAAAATTCAGATGCAAGTATAAGGAACTCAAGCCAATCTTAGTTGGGCTTGGTGGTACACATCAGTAATCCAAGTTACTCAGAAGGCTGAGACAGGAGGGTTATTTAAGCCTAGAAGTTTGGGACCAGCTGGGCAACATAGCAAAACCCCATTTCTAAAACACAAGAGTGGGGGGAGAGACATAGGATATTTTGAAGATAAAGAACAAGGCTGTGGGACTCACAGGGCCTGAGTTCACGACTCATAAAGCCACAATGAGTTGAAGCTTGTACACAGGCTTATAGACGATTCCAGAAACAGGCCTGTCCAGATGTGGCTAATCAATTCCAGGAGGGGAGGAGAGCCTTTTCACTGTGGCTGGACATGCACACAAGAGAAAAGAAGCCTGGATCCCCACGCCACACCATGCCCCAAAAAACACCTGGATGCCAAGGCCACACTACAGACATCCAAAGGCAACAAAGGCACAGTTCCTCAGGAGGCAAAAAGCCCCCACAGAAGGAAAAAAAGGTGGTCTGATTAGACGTCACCAAGATGTCACATTTGTGTCCCTCGAAAGACAGTGATGCTTATGAGTGAACAAGCCACAGACAGTCGGGAGAAGGTGGTGCTGACCCTCACACCTGACTGCACGTATGAAGACGTCCACATGGATCAGAAGCACCTCCACCTGTATGTGGGCAGAAGCAGCAGCAGGGGAGAGGCCTGGGGCCAGGTGGCTGGCAAAGATGCCCTCGCAGCCCGGGGCGGGCACAGTCATCCTCTGCCACGCCTTCTTAAAGTCAGTTCAGGAAGCTGAGGAGGCTGTAAACTACAGGGTCCTGTCGACAGAGACAGGGAGGTGGGGCTGCGACCTCAAAGGGTCTGGCAGGAGCTTGGGGTGACAGAGCCAGGCTGGGTGCCGCCGATGTGGTAACAGGACTGCACGCCCCACCACATTTACTGTACGGAAAGTTAGCAGCAAAAACACAGGCTTTGGCACCCTGCCTCGGCTCCACCTTGCTGAGGTAGGTCTCTGATCCTTTCTCTGGGGGGGTGGGAAAACCTCATGTCCTCCCACACCCTCTCTGGCCCCTGCAACAGCTGGGATGAGCCAGGCCAGCTGCGACCAAAGTCCAGGGGCCAGGCTGGGTCCTCACTGAGGAGAGCAAAGTCCCACCCCTGAGAAAGGTGGTGGAGCTGCTGCGGAGGGGGCTGGCTGACCAGCCCACACTGACAGCTCTGCCTTGGGAAACTGCGTCGCAGTGGTCACTGCACAATGGCCCAGCCTGCCCAGAACACTGGTCATCCCAACACACTGGACCCCAGAGCCTCAGGTCCTTTGGATTCATCCTGAGGAAACAGGCTTAGACAGTGACTTCCTCAGCCCTGGGCCCAGTGAGGCCCACGGTGGGTGGCCCCAGAGAGCAGCAGCACTGTGGGCCTGAAGCTGCAGCTGGCTCTGCTCGCCCCTTACCTGCCTCCCCCTCACTCCTCCCCATAGTCCCCCAGGCCTGGATCTCGGCCAGGAGCCCGGCCAGCTCGCAGGCATGGAAGGCCCATCTGTAAAGTGTGTCTCCTGACTTCTAGGGGTAGGACAAAGCCCTCCCAGGCTGGCGGCCGGTCCAAAGGGCGCCGGGTGGCAGGGTACGCAGGGTAGCTCCCAGGCAGCACGGCCACCTGAAGCTCCCGCAGTGCTCCATAAAGAGTGTCTTTGTTTCAGCTTCTCCCGCTAATCCAGTTCCTTGTTTTGGGGCCAGGATGAGGACTTCCTTCCCAGAGGCTCCGGTGCACAGCCCCAGGGGGCCTCCCCCCTCAGCACCAAGTCCCCAGGGAAGGCTCCCAGACTGAAGGGCTTGACCCCACTGTGGCTCGGCCCGGGACCCGTGGGGGGCAGTCCCTGGCTCTGGTCTCCCCACCTGTCCCCGGGCCTCAGTTTCTCCACCTGCCCATGCACCCCGAAGCACAGGGTCTCACCTGGACATGGTACTGGGAGGTCTCGTGCATGATGACATTGGAGTTGGAGTACTTCTTCCTCTGCTCTGGACGGGGAGATGGTGGCCACTCAGCCCAGATCTCAGGACCGCCAGCCCCCAGTTCAGGTGGGACTGGACCCCAGGGGCGCGCAAGGGAGGGTGGAGTCAAGGTAAGGGGTGCTTCTCTTGGGCCCCTCATGAACACCAAGGATGGAGGTGTGAGACCCTCGAGGACCCTGCTCAGACCACGAGGACCCTCAGGAAGCCCTCTGCTCCATCCAGCCCAGGCTCAGCCCAGGGGGACACCCATGGCTCTGAGAGGGAGGGCAGCCAGAGGCTATGGGACTTGTCCTGGGGGACTGGAGGCTCAGCCTCACCGGAGGCTGGCCAACCCCGGAGCCCCCCTTCCCAGGGGAGAGGTCTAGGCCAGGGCTTGCCACCCTCAGAGCCACCACCAGAATCCTCCTTTCTAGGGCTTCTTGCTGTCCAGACGGTGGGTGGCTGCAGCCTCCAAAGGCACAAGTGAGGGCTGCGGCCAGCCGGGAGGGCAGCCTGGCTCCCTCCTGGAGAGACACCTGGCCACCGGCCACCTGCCCGATCGAGTTGCAGAGACGCCCAGGGGAATCAATACTGTTGCTCTCTGAATTATTTGTAAAGGGCTCTCCCCTTACTGCTGGGGGAGGGGTGTTCTGTGCCAGGAACTTTGGGGACAGACCTCACAAGCTGTCAGAGGCCTCCTCCAGGTACCCAGGGCTGACCAAGCCTGAGGTCCTCTGGGCCAGGGCCAGGCAGTCCCCTACTTCCCCAGCCTGGCCCCAGCTCCAGCTTCACTCACCAAACAGATCCTTCGCGCTCATCTTAGCCACACCATCGGACCGGCCCAGGCTGCCACTGTGGGGGGGGGGGCAGGTGAGGGGGGCCACCACGCCCTCCCCGGGGGCCCTCCCCGGGGGCTGCCTGTGGGCAGTGAGGGTGGGCATGGGGCTCACTTGGCAGCACCAGGGCAGCAGCTCATGGCTCCTGACTGGCTCATGGTGTCCTTGGTGGCGGCCCGCAGCTGGGAGGGCAGAACTCAATGCCTGGCCCACACCTGAGAGGACAGAGGAACTGAGCTGACACCTTCTCTGGTCCTGGCCAGTGGCCCTGTTATTCCCAGGACAGGGCCTCCTCTCTCTACCCCGGGTCCAGGGCAGGAATTCAGTGACTTGACCAGATTCCACAGGGGTCCTCAGGAAGCAGAGCTCCCTGCCCTGCAACCCAGCTAGTGGCCACTGAGCCCCATTTTGCCTCAGACCTTCAGACTGCATAGGGTTCCCCCCCCAAGAGGCTGCCTAGGAGGCTCTGAAGAGGGTGATGGGGGGAAAGCATCTTCTCAGCAGAGTTCAAGTAGGTTCAAAGGCCCTGGGGCAGGTAGCAGCCAGCAGGAGTGGAGGGCAGGGGCATGAGGCTGGAGCCTGGGGAGGGGCACACAGTGCAGAGGGAGCTCTGGCTCCCGCCTTCCAGTCCTGCCCCACCCCAGGCACCTACCCCACAGGGGCCTCTGCACCCTGTGGTGAACACATAGCCCACACCTGTCCACCCTTGGCTCTCTTTGGGCCCTTGGAGAGCAAGCAGGGAAGCCCTGTGGTAGGGAATCCTGGGGTCCCTGGTGCTTAAGGGGTCGTCTCACCCTGATGAGAAGGCAAAATGGGGAAACCAGGGTAGGACCCTTGGCAGCAGGAGCCGGCCCAAGAAAGGACCTGGGGAGGTGGGCACAGGGTGGGGGTTCAGAGGGATGGGTGGTGTCCCAGCCTCCCTGTAGCAGATTCCCAGGCCTGACCACTGTCCAGCTGCACTCTGGGGAAGAGGACAGGTGGCTAAAGTGAACAGGGTCTGATCTGGGTTGGACCTTCCTGGGAGGGAAGCAAACCCTGGGGGCTTAGGTGGTGAGAATGCCCTGGGGGGACCACCAGTGCAGAACTGCCCCAGGTCCCAGGTGGGACAGGTGGACAGCACCTCTGTGGCGGCTCCCTGGGGGGTCCTGGGTCCACTCAGGAAGCCATCCTCCTGACTTCAGTGTTTGGGTCTACAGGGTGGGGCCACCAGCCTGGGTGCTGGTATGGAGAGCTGAGGGCAGGCTGGGCACCCCAGGACTTTCTGGTTTGACTAGGTCCTGCTGGGGAGCACTCCCAGGAGATGTGGGAGCCTGGGGGCTTTGGTCACTGCCTCATCCTGGCTCCTGCTCTGCCCCGCCCACATGCCACAGGGGCTTGGCCAGATTGCCCTGTCCACCTATCCGTGGAGAATGTTTGGAATGCTCGTGACCTCAGAGGGTGAGTCTGAGTGTTTGCTTATGGGGATTCCTGGCAGGCTGAACCAAGGGCACTGGGCACGTGGGTCCAGGTACACACACCTGGGCAAAAACAACCTCCAGACCCAGGCCTGCAGGCACGCAGACACACAGGCTGGGCTGCACAGCCCTCCCCTCAGCAGTGGGGGAGCGGGGGCCACTTAGAGGCCTGGGTGAAGCCTGCTCCCAGTGGGCTTCAGCTGGGGGTGGGGAAGCCATGTAACTCAGAATAGGTGGAGATGGATGCCCAGCCCTGGCCCTGGCCCCTGGGCTTCAGGCTGTACTTTAGTTTTATGGAGGCCATTTTCCGGGTATGAAGGGAGGACCCAGTATGTCTGGGGCCAGGCGAGTGGACAGTGGAGGGAGGAGGCCCCAGTAGGGCAGAGAGGGTGGAGGAACTGGCTCCAAGTTCAAATTCCAGCTCCACATGCTGAGTGACCTTGGGGAGGGGTCAGCTTAGTCATCAGGGCTCCTAGCTGCCCTCATGGGAGTCGGGTGGGGCCCTGGAACAGGGCAGTCCCTCAGGCCCTTCTGAGACCTGAGGAAAGAGCTCTGTCCAGGTGGGGGGGAGGAAGAGACAACTTGGAAACTTCTAGGGGGGAGGGTGGATACACTTGAGGAGACCTGGGCAAGCACAGGGTGCTGAAGTCTGGCTGGATGGAAGCACTGGGCCCACAGGGCCTGGGTACTGGGCAGGTCCAGCAGAGGCCTGGGCATAGGATGGCAGTGCAGATGGGCTATCCCCACCAGGGGCCCCCTCCTTGCACAGCAAGGATTGTGCACTGGAATAGGGGCAGAGGTGGTCTGTAGGGTGTGCCTACTTCCGCCCCTGCAGGGGGGGGGGGAGACACTCTCACACAAAGGGGCAGTTCTAGAGCAGCCCTGCCCAGGGACCAGGAACCTGAAATGGCCAGATTGGATTCCCACAGGTCCTGGTAGCTCACCCTCCAGGATGGGCCAGGCAGGGCTCCTGCAGCCACACCCCCAGCCTTCCTCCCTTTCAGACTCCACACCTCACCTCTGACCAGCAGCCTGACCCAACCTGATGCCATCCTGGCCCAACCCTCCAGAGAGTTCCAGGGCCTGGGCTGTGTGCCCACCTTCAGGGTCCTACCATGGAGGAGGCCCCAGCCTCCTCCAGGGGATGAGAAGCCCCTTCTCCGGATGCAGGGATTCCTCCACCTAGCCCCAGGGCTGGGAGGGCATGGGACCTGCATGGGTGAGTCACCGACCACTGGCTTAAAAATATCCCTGCACGCGGGCCGCGCCCCGGACACTGGCAGACCGGGCCGCAGTGGACGGGTTCTTGGGCCAAGAGCCCCCAAACCTCCTGCGCCCCCGCGCCCGGCCACCCCGGTCCAGCTATCCCCAGCGCCCCAGGCGCCCAGCTGCCTCCCGCACCCGGCCCCGCCAGAGCCCCGCGTCCCATCGCCGCTGAGGAAACTGAGGCCCAGACGGATGAGCTCCTTCCTCGCCCTCACCTGCTCGCGGCAACTGCGTCCTCGCTGTGGCCAGTCCCCCGTCCGTGTGTCCGCCAGTCTGTCCGCGCCTTGGCCACCGCACTAGGTCTCCGCTGGCGGGCGGGTCGCTTCGC